TTCATCAATTAAGGTATCGTAATTAAAAATACGTACATTTGAAAGAGCTTCTTAACACTTAAATTTTTAACAACATTACTTTTTTTTTATTTATTAAACCATTCCTTTTATATTGTATTGATATACAGAAGTTTATATAAAAAGTTTGTATGGGTAAAATAAATTGTATTGATAGATCCGGAGAATAAAATATTGCTCGTTAAAATATAATGGCCGATCCATTAATCCTGCTTGGGCTAAATTTAGTTTTATGACGTCATTTCGGAATTTTTGTTTCCGCGCACAATTCATTTCTAAATATATTTCACTGCCGATTTTACGAGGACGCCTCAACTTTTATCGGTTAACAAAAGTAGCGCCAATAATAAAAAAAATTAATTAACTGTGTTCACAATTTCGTTTTTATTTTTACTGACATACTCCGTTTAATTAAAAGTCGAGTCGCCAGCGCGGCGCCGGAGTTATTAAAAAAATATGTCGTAACCCGCACAAGCCGTCAGGAACCACTAAATGTTGAATGACAAACGGCTCCTGTCAATTTTAATTACAGAAATGTCGCGGTGTGGGAAAGCACGCGACGTTGAATCGTACCCAGACGCGCCTTTATGCCCCGTCAACATTTTTGCTCCGCGACATCAAAAACCGCATTTTGGGGGGAGATTAACATGGAATATTATTGCGATACGATTATCTCGGTACTTTGAAACGTCTATCCGAACGTTTTATTGATGTATATTTTCCTAAATGCTGCAGCGGGCACGCGCTTTAGGGCCCAATAAACATTTTTATTGCGCCTTATCAAAATGACATACACGATTACCTAAAACCATATACTCCGTATGAAAGGAAGTTTAACTGCTCAACATATGTAGAGTGTAAGTCGTGTCATAAAGGAGCTTTCCTTTTCTCTACTTTGCCCATTCGTTCGATGTTATCTAAGAAATTAATCGAGGGTCCCTTGTAAAATATTGCTTCCAGTATTTCTAGAGATATACAAGTTTTTGTCATCACTTGTTGAATTTTTATATTAGTAATATTATTTTACTTATGTCTTCCCTTTAAAAACTTTCCGAAATTTGTGCATGGTGAACGTTCAAAAAGTTTTCCGACAAACTTAAAAGAGGAAACTGGGGTTAAATTATTATATGAATTTAATTTATAATACATGTAACATGACATTACAATTAAGTACTAAATTTCGTTAAAATATAACAATAGAAATATTTTATACGAATACACTTGTATTTATTTCGCCACTTCAACCGAAACCGAACCGAGACCAATACGAAAAAACAGCTGACAAAATCTTAGAACGGATAAGCGGAAACAGTGCCGGACATTAAACTAGTTAATTTTATAGCGCTGCGAAATTTAACGTTATACTCGTTACATTCGCTCGGGGTTGAGATCGGCCTAACGAGCTCTGTGAAACGTGCTGATTTTGCTAATGAGGGACCTTTACACAGCCCCGTTCGATTCGCACCGCGCGAGACCAGCAAAATATATGTCGAAATACTAAATTGCGGTCATTTTGTCACGAATTGAATAAAGAGGGCCCCGGCTACCTCACTCGCCAGCTGAAACGCATAAGTATAACACTTCGAATTGACGCTGGTCTGTCAGTTCGAGTTAATCCCCCGGACGAACCGCCCATTACATTATTTACATTATTTTGATAACGAATCATTTCGCTATTGGGCGTAGTACATCAATCTTTCTAATGTCGTTGTAAAATAAAACTATTTTACGGATTTTGTCGCATTATATTTTGTTATTAAAATTTCCGACACACCGTATCACTTTACGTCCTAATGCCAGATTGGCTACCGTCAATATTTTTTAAAAAAATCGGTAATCGGTAAAAATATATCTACGATTCTTAAATGATACATGATGACATAATTTAAGACGTCGTAGATGTCTATAAGTATTGTGTGACATGTAGGTTATAAAAAATGATATAAATAAATTACGTTTCCATTGCTTATTCGAAGTATTATATAGTAGAATTTGCAATTTTCATAAACAGTAAGTCCCCAGTGTGTCCGTAACCTTATATTCGAGGGGAAAGTTAAATTGTCAACGCTCCGCACAATTGCTAGTGGCAAACTACGCAAATTACGTCATAATTATATTTGAATGTTTTGTCTCACCATTAAAATTTAAAGTCAGTTTTAACAGAAATATTTTGTCATAATGATGTTTTTTGTGATTCTTTTTTTATTAATTAAGTAAGTCTAAGTTTACTTGTGCTGTAAGTCCTTGCTTTTAACCGAAATTGACTTGCCATCGCTCTTACGGCTTCTGTCCCCTCCTACACCATGCTTCTCGGCGACCACGATTTCCATGACGGATGGATGGGCACCTTATCGAGAGTCTGGCATGAAGACCATAACTTTAGCAGTTTGTATCGTACAGTTTGGAGCCTAATAACTACGCCAGTCGAGTTTTGAAGCCTTGAACCAGTGGTCCCCTTCCTTGACCGGAATTCTGTTCGGCGGTGTCCCCTGTATTGGTGTAACGGTCCCAAAGGTTAATGGTTAATAACACTTCTGTTTACACCAAGTACCCTCGCCACCGCCGATTGATCGCTTTTAATTTACAGCATTCGTACTGCTCTTTCATTTCATCACTTGTTAAAATATGTAGATTCTGCATAACATATCCGTCAATATTTATTAAGGTTTAAGAACAATAAATTATGTTTCAGTCAATAGTACTCGTTATTTTAAAACATTAATCTTCTCAAAGATAAAATTCACCCCAATGAAACAAAAGAATCTTCTTTGTTAGTTTAAATGACATTTTTTTTCTAAAATCGTCAAAAAAAGATTAAAAAGTTTGCATATAGCATTTTCTCACTGCATTTTATAGTGTTGCTTAGACTTTTTTGTCGTGTATTACCAAATATCCATGTTCTTACAATTCGATTTTAACTTCAAGTTTTTATATTTCGTACACGCGACCTTACGTTGGAGCGTCACGTCCGGGCAACGTACCACGACACGATTCGGGCGTAATTAAAAAGATAATGTTATAACATCCCCATACTGGCGTTCCCGCAGTTGGGACGCGCACGGACCGCGCCCCCGGCTAACCCCCGTGACCCAGTTGCATTTGGGAATAGACGGCCCCGCACGCCACGCGGAACCTTTTAAATTTATTTCCGCTTCATAAATGACGGATGAGACGGCGCGTTACGGGCATCATCCGCGCGGCCGAAACATTTCGTTTGCTATCGAAAACGAATGTTTGATGGAGGGCGCGTTGTAGCTTCTCCGTTTATTACTCGCCTTGTATACGAATTGATAGGTTTTACACGTCTTATCGCTGCGGTTCGAGTGCCTTTACGACGAGAGCAATGATTGATAATAGCCTTGATAGTATAGCGACTAAAATGGTTTGAAATTTTTTCAATAATGGCTTCGCAGAGTAAAACCTTCATTAGTATCAGCCTGTACATGTACCATTGCTGGGCTAAGGCCTCCTCTATACATGAGGTATTAGGGCAGAATCCACCACGCAACCCCAAATTAAATGTTTTTCAGTTATTATTTCTAATAAATGATATTTTTCATCTCAGCTGAGTACGTGATAAGTCAGCACTTAAATTTAATAATTTCATTGATGCTGGCACTGGGATTTGAATTCGGGTTGCCCGAGTATAATTAATTAAAAGCCGGCACTCGGTCATTGAGTTATCACGGCTCTCAAGTAAAAGTTTTTTGGAGTAAAACCTCAAGCCGTTCAATACTAATTGATGAGGGAAAGAAGTATCAGTGGACCTAGACAGACAGGTAAAAATGACTACTATGTCTTTTTTTCATAAATTTTATGACTTGCATAAAAGACAGAATTTTCGGTATGTCTATAATCAGGATAAATAGTCGCAAGTATTTACGCAGGAGACATGTTTAATAGTTTCAAAAAGTAGAATCTAAATTAACTGTGGTAGGGCCAGGCAATAGTCTTCACTGTTGCTCGAATGGGAAGGTCCGTCTCGGTACGTAGATAACACGACCTCACATTGTGTGAGATAGCCGGGAACCATTTAATTAAAAAGTGGCGGCGTATTAGCAACCAGGTGTTGCAAATGTCCATGGGTGGCGGTTATAATTTAACATCAGGTAAACCGCCAGCTAGATTGCGTCCTTCCCACAGAAAAAAAAATTATCATCTTTTACATTTTAGTTTCTTTTTTCATCATTGACGCGGCCATTTTTAATATCGGCGTTTCGTCTACCATATTCCTTCTCAATCTGTTTGATGCCAAAAATTTCGTCGCCTGAGAATGGCAGCTGAAATGGAGGCGCTAACGCGTGTCCCTTCCAAGGATCGTACATGTCGTTTGAAAAATGGCCCCTTTCATGCCGCTGACGTTTTGGCACCACCCCTTTCTTTTGTGTTAATTCGCTTAGAGGCCGTTTGCGGCGCGCCGGGAAATTATGTCGGCATTTTCACCGTTCCGTGCACAGGGATTTTATATTTTTCGCCGCTTTGTGATTTAGGTATGTTTTAAATGCTTATAATGAGCATTTGCCTAATGAATTGGCATTTAAGGAGTTCATCTTGTTTGGTTGAAAAGCTAAAGCAATAATAGTCTAGTTAGGTGCTTGTTTTTTTAACGATTTCCGTACCTTATTATAATTTATTGCATTACCTTAATGATATAACTTACGTTTCATGTCAAGTGTAAGTACATAAAATTTTGAATTGTAAAATGTAATCTAAAATGTGTCGATAAATTGTAGAATTCATATTTTGCTGCGGCCAGGATTAGAACGTGCTGCTTTCGGATTACGCGTCCAGAATCTCCAGTCACTAAACTGAGCAGTCGATGTCCTCGAAAATCTTTATCTACCTTGCTTTTATTACATTTTCATCGCGCCACCTAATGCGCTTCCTTTACAGAAACCACACAAGCATTTCGTGTACAAGTTTAATTTCGAAATTGACTTTTGACCGTACAGCAGTGACCAATGTTGCCCTTATTGTTACAGAGTGGAGCGGCGGCGGCGGCAACGGGGAGTACCGTGTCCGGAGGCAGCTCTCCGTCTCCTCGGACTCGAAGCTCCTAGACGAGGGGGCGCGGGAGGAGGCACGTGTGGTCATGAGGCCCAAGCGACCGCCGAGGCCCAAGTCGGAGGCCTTCCTCGGGCCCCACGACCACAACAGTCGGCGCACGAAGCGGTTTAGTGCCTTTGGGGTGAGTGCGAGGCTGCTCGTAACGTTTACACCGAACAACGGGTCACTAATATCACGGGAATTGCCATGTTATTTAATGACGACACGTAATAGGGTTTCGTTTCAATCAAATAAAAATATGAAAAGAGAAGATTGACTGAAAGAACTCATTTTTTTAGTGCCTTAGGGGTGAGTGCGCGTGAACTCACGCGGACTGAGCAACGTATCAGTCACGTCACTAATGTGATGCGAAGTTCACGATCATGAAATTTATTAACTATGGCAAAACTTATGAATCAAAAACTAATGTTAAGATATTGCTGCATGTTAAGTAATAGCGTAGGAAACGTCTGAATCCATGGTATTTTTAGAGTTAATAATTCTACCAAGAATATATTTTTACAGTTAAAAATATGATAATCTTCAAATAAATCTTAAGGAAAAAGTTAATTTACGTAACGGGCATATACTTACGGTTCTACAATGTTATTTTAAAATATATTGATATGATATATTTTCTAGCATTTTGCGAATCTCTCTATTAGTTCTCTCGCTGGCGCTAGTTTCATTACTTGCGGATCTCCCTTAATCAAATCGCAATAGTGGGTTTCTCCAGAGGCTTTGGTACTTAACAGGATAATGCTTAAGCGCTCAATTTGAGCAGCGTTGCATGAATTTTTCTTCTTACTTTACTGCGCTTAGTTAAGCTTGAAAGTAATTTGTAACTTTGTAGTCTTTTAAATAGCTTACGGATAAGTTAACGAGCGTTTAGTGCAGGAATTATTTATATTAATAATGACTTAACGAGTGTTTAGTACGGGAATTATTTTACGTTTTCTATATTGTAGTGTATTTATTGGATTTCTTTATTGTAGGAAATCGAATTGGTCGGACTTTTAGTGTTGGACACTTTAATGCCTTTCTCTCCCTTGTGGCCCATTAAAATATATAGTTTAGATAGCAGCTACAACCCGGATGGTGTCGCGAAAAGACATCGTCGTAAATTTAACTTGCACTTAAATTAGCTCCGTATTAAATATCGCGGGTAAGGTTTACGATATTGACGGAGTAACTTTTACTGTTTTAATGTTGTTCAATCTGACAGGTTTTCTTGGTTTATACGTAAATATCGTAGACTCTATAATCGTGTAATATAATTGACAGATTAAATTGACGGTGCTTATGATAAAATCATATCTGAAACATTTTAATCAGTCTGCTGTTTAAATAATTTTTTTTAATTTTTTTATTCGGAAAACTTGCAGCTATTAACAAAGACAATTAAACGATTTTAAGGACTTAGGAAGCCATCTATAAGTTTTCATATTTAGAAGTCTTAATTTATTGGTACTAAATAAATGTATAATACAAGGCATAAAAAGACACATGAATGCAATGACATTAACTTAATTATAGAAAAAAATAACAGTAAACCTAATATTTTTAATGCAACAAAGTGGTCTTTAGTAAAGAGTGCTTTGGCAACCGCTGTATAAATTATATTTATATATTGCAACAATCGATCCATACTTTCTGCCATTTCCCCATTCTCTACGTTAAACATTCAATGCAGACGCCTCGCGGGCGCATTATCGTGTAACCGAATCGCCATTTTGGCGCCGTGTATTTAATGTACGTACCGCAAACATAAACCGGGAAGTCACGCGAGTGCTTCATAAATAAATAAGTTTGTATCGGCTTTCGCTGAAACGGACATGTTGTAGGTTATCGTGCGTTATGTATGACAGCAATACAAGCCGTTTAAACGACACGGCTTGACGTCTCGAGAGTAATCTACGACGTGTTCCGTGTCGTGTGTTAATTGTTCTTTATGGTGCTGTTTATCGGAAAGTACGAAGCAAAAGATCAAAGAAACAAGTAATTTTTGTTCAGCGATCTTCCTTTTATTTAATATTAGCGTGGGAACTTGGTTATTAATCTGCCTATTAGCAATAAATGGCCTTGCCATGCCTTATACATTTTTGACATATTATTTTAGTCTATAAAATAAAAGTAAAGTACATTGTACGAGTGTGTTAACAATGAGTGTGAACAAGAAATATCAATGCGTTACTTCCTTGTATACTCAGTGCTCAATTTATAATAGAAGGAAATTTTTACTTAATGACGCTTTTCATATTTATATAAGAAATAATATATAAGAAACTGAAGTTGTGAAACAATGATAATCAACAATGTATTATGTAGGTAGGTACTTACCGGTAAAAAATAACACCAAGTAAATAATGAATTTATAAGAATACTTAAATACAATAAAGGTATCTATCTATCTTTAATTCTATAGCTAGTTACACAAACATAAGTTTACGAACGTTTATATAAACACAGTGCGGTATATACCTTAGTACAAAATTCTATTCAAATCAACCAAGCGAAGATATATTTCAACTGGCTATTTCTGCCGGGATCCGATCGCTGTGTGTCTAAACAATTAATCACCTGTGGAAACGCAGGAGTAGTCCTGACGGGCGCCTCGGCACGGCCGTCGACTCCATAGAGCGGGGCAGCATTAGACAAGTCAAATATTTACACGAGAGCGAGTGCGGGCGAAGAAAGCAAAACGGTGTACCAGGAGGCCATAAGTGGTGATACTTCACTAGAGTAATCGTTATAAACAACCGCACCGGGCGGGCTGCTGCGTTCTTATTTGCTTTCTCCCCTTTGTAGCGGGCCAGTGTTTGAGTTGCTTTGTTTGACATTGAGTGTATGAAATTATCGCGAGTATTTGCTCTCCCTCACTTTAGAAAGGTATTCTTTTTGAAAAGGTGTTTGTACTTGTGTACGTACGAATTACGATTCAAATATAAAATTAGTATATTAATAAATTTTCAATAAAGAAGTAATGTTCTTTAAATATTTCCCCATGCGAAGATAAACGCTTTTGGGCAATGGCCTTCTCAGTACAGAGGGTATTAGGGCATAGCCCATCACGTGACCTCGGATTGGTGGATTTCATATTTCGAAATATGTCTTTTTTTATTATTTCGAAAACATGCAGGGTTTCCTCTCGTTTTCATTCACCGCTGAGTACGTGGCAAGTCAGCACTGAACAATTCAGCACAAGCCGGCACCAGCTTGTAATCAGGTTGTTGGAGTATATGGAATTAAAAACAAAAAATTCATATAACGAAGATAAATGTATATTAATACACATTTTATAAAGCTCGTGCGCCATCGCATATTCGCGGAACTGCTTAGGATACTTCCGTTGCAAAACCACTCACTCTACCAAATAAATCAACTAAAATCAATTCGGCTAAAACGCCTCTAGTAGACGCGGAACGTTGCCGGCGGAATAACATCATAAATTAGGATTAGTGAAGCGTTGTGCTCCACATCTCTCGTACTCTGATAAATGAACGCAGTCGCTTTTGTCAACAGGGTGATTCCCCGTTCGGGAAGTCCGAAGCTTACATGAAATTGGAGCAACTGGGCGAAGGGTCCTACGCAACAGTCTACAAGGGATACAGCAAGTACGTATGCTTCATATTAAATGTCTTATTTACTCTTAATTAGACTATGGTACTGACCTACTACGGTTTTTTAAGTTTATCTATTTACTAAGTTAGACCAACAGCAGAACATATACTTATATTTATCTATATATATTTTTAATTCCAGGTTTAGTTCTTATATGCCTATTAGAGGTAGACAAAACATTCTCGATCTAAATAAAAATAAACAAAGAAAAGAATTAAACAAAAGAATTAATACTAACAACTAGTTACATATTTTAATTGTATAAAACGTCAATAAAGCTTAAAAGAAACGAACAAACTTTATTTTAGGGTTCGTCTTAAGAAGCATCATCATCGAAGTCTAAAACATGTTTATAATAATTTATAACATTGAACCAATGTAGAAGCGCAAATAATTTAGCAAATTGCAACTTCAATAACATTACGCCTCAAGTGTTTTGCATTAGATACGTTTATTTCATTAAAAAAATCTGTTTTTTTTTAGTAAAAAAATTTACACATTACATTAATTTTATTGCGATGGCGTAAGTAAACTTCAACCTACGTTTTTATTTTAGGGAAAACCCTATATAATTTTCAACAGTGTAAAAAATGGCGTCGCCCGTTTGAATTTTCGCCTCCCTCTAAATTTAATGAAAAAGGTTTATTCGACTTTGGTTTTATCTTTTGGACCCTCAGTGAATGTTTCACTCGATTGCTAGCTACCAGATTTAACCTGAAGTTTTAGTGGTTCATAAATATTTATAAGCTTAATAAATATAAGCGCCTTATACACAATTGGAATAGGTTTGTTGAATTTATAAAAAAATTAGAAATAAACAAGATTTATTTTTGAATGTCATATTTTATAATTGGTCATAATCAAGCTTCGATATGTTAAACTACAAACATTGATCGATTGACTTTCGGAATGATTCCCGACTAAAACTGATTTGTTAACTTTAAACGTTTTGAATTAAGTTTAACTTTGTTTTAAATTATTAGTATTAAGAAATTAAGTCAGGACAATAGGTAACTTTCTGATAATAAGTTTTCAAAATATGTGAACCTTAGAATAAACTGTTGTTAAGGCTTAGCCCCATATCCTTCCTCATTATTAAACACAATATGTCTCTGTGCGTCCGTTTATACAGAACTCTCTAACTCGAGGACCACTGTTCTATCTCAATGGTCTTATTTTTAATGTTGATGATATGGTATAAATTTAGAACGCATGTGGTATAGAGAGCATAGGTTAATAAGTGCTTAACCAGGAAGAGCTTCGGATGCGTTTATTTATGTGCGTAAAATTTACAGGATATGTATAGAAGGTATGAGGGTTATAGACCACGACGCGACCGCACCGCGGATTGACGGACTTCACGTTAATTCGAAATGTTTTATTTTATTATCATTTCGAAAATATGAAAACCTGCATCCTCACTATATTTTCCTGCACCGCTAAGCACATTTGAAGTCACTTCTTTGTAATGAACAACTACATTGATGATGGCACCAGGATTTGAACTTAGGTTTTTCGAGGATATTGAACTTAAAGTGAGACCCCGGACACTATATCAATAGAGGCAGAATATCTAGGCGTGATAGTTCGCCTTAATATTCTGCCTCTATCGACTATTCCATTCGATTTCAGAGTTTTATCGAGCACGATGTTTCGAAGCGTGGCGAAGAATCCACATTTTACCCCTTGTCGGCGATGTTATGTGGAAATAACAGTTCTCGTCCGACAATCGCTACGTTGTTTTAAATTAAATTATGCCGTTGTTTATGCAGCGTTGCTATTTTTTTGCGAATCCACGGTTAACGCATTACGTAGTGTAGTGACCGTGATGTTTTATGAAATGGACTAGTTGAGTTTAAAAAAAAACACACCCGTTATTTGTACAGTATGAAGACGTAACTGTGTGTTACTTGTGCACGTTTTTTGGAAACACGAGACTGATTTTGCACACATTTTTTCTATATTTCTTTCTTATTCTACGGATGATAAAGCACCTTTTATTTTGTACTAACACTGGCTTTTGCACCTGTAAATAACAAAAATAAATTCTGATTCAAGCACACCACACGTCCAAGACAAGAAAGGATGTAGGTACTACTTTTTGCGTTGATCGAAATTTTGTTAACGTTACGTCCTGTGAACACAAATGCTCCTTAGAATTAAGAACGGCAGATATTTATATTTTAACAGCCGTTTTCAATAATCTATCTATCTGTAGATTTGGTTACTGGAGATAAAATTTCACTTAAGTATTGTGGAGCTAATGTCAAATACCTATCGCTAGTAACCAAATCTACAGATAGATAGAATATTGAGACCGGGCGTAAATTAAACACGATAATAGTTTGGACTGCGTAAAGTAATAAAAAAAACAGTGAAAACAGACTTTAATATGTTTGTTCAGAATTTTACTACGACTTTTATAGCATGTGTTACTTGAAAGCGAGGCGCCGCTTTAAAAGTCGCCAGGGCGCTTTTAGCATTGTGGGCCCTCGACGTGCCTTGATGCATCGGTCTTGTTATGCGCGATCGCTTACCCCATCGCTTGTTCCCTCCTACGAGAGCAATGCGGCTTACCCTTTCCGTGTAGATCTCCGTACATGTTCACTTTGTGCCCAAGTAAGCCTGATTTCAACGGAGTTTTCCCGCACGAAAGCTCTTTAAATTATACATATTTCTCTCGAGCTCAAAATGCCTTTTTCAGGTGTGTATTTTTTGAGTGAGCGCGACACTGATATCGGAATGTTATTTGTCTTAAGTTAAAATTAGTTGTCTTCTCTTGTCCTATTCTGTTGCTGTCTTTAAAGTTGTTAAATTATAATCATGAGCACATTGTTTTTAAGGAACTGAGGAAAAGCTTTTTAAGGGCGTTGTGTTATTTGTATTTTTCTTTGTTTTTGTATCTTGATTTCTATTCTAACAAACTATAAATAAAAAAATATGTTGGTATATATTATTTGAAAAGGAAAAATAAGAAAAAATGTTCAGGAAACTTTCATATCTAGAAGCAAATTAAAAGTGAATAACGCTGTAAGGTGAAATGCTTTCGCTCAGCAATGTGACACGTGGTTAGACAGACATAGTGAAGTAAGTACTCTAAATAACAAAACATCGTGCATATACTTTTGATACTTCAGAAACATTTTCCATGTAAATTTCCTTGTTTAAGTGGTTGTACTTAACGATACGCTTAACATAATTGAAACTTGACGAGTTTAGCCTTTCACACGGATAGGTCTTCACATCTAACTTTGCGAGGGAGGCGGGGCCGGGATAATGGAATTTAGAGAATTCATAGCTTGAGTGTGCCGTGAATTGCCTTCATGGTTGAGTGTTAATGAGCCCGTTACACTAACCAAATTTTCGTATTCATGACCCGTGGAAGTTTCGAGGGCGGCTTTGTATGTGACAGCGTGTTACGTTCGCTATTATGGCGGGAGCTGACGTGGGGAAATTCGCGGTTTAAATTCGTGACATGCCTTGCAGCGTTATGATATGAATTGGGTTCGTATTGTATTTAGAGCCGTGTTTCAGCCTGTTCTGTTTTAATTCACGATAAATATATTTTACCTATGTACGTTTTTACAAGTGATAAACTTGTCGGTGATTTTATACATTTCATTAGAGATTCTTTTAACGTTCAAATTAATTCTACCGTCTAATATAAATAGTAATATTTCCTGGAAACAAGTTTTTTGGTTCACTTTCCAAAGTTATTACGGATCTAAAAGTATTTAACTTTAATCGTAACCAATTTTGGATTAGTACTTTAAAATTACAATACTATGATTTACCTTGTTAGAAACATGTAACAACGAATATTGTACAAGCGTTACGAGCAAACTTATCGACGAGTTTCTATGAAGCTATTAAGGGTATCGATTGTGAGCTGCTGTTATTGTTTAATGCGAATTGTTGTTAATTACTCCGATAAAATTTAAATCGCTTTATAACAGTAGTTACACAAATGATTTTCGTTCCGTTCATTAAATGTTATAAATCACCTTGAATGGGGAGGTTCTGTATGACGTATTTAATTCTATACGATACAAGCGAAATGGAGTACATATAATATTGTATTGGAGATGATATATAAACAAAACAACATTTAGGCAACAATGTTTCAACCGAATGCATCAGTTTACTCGTAGTTAGGTCGAACTTGAGAAACTTGAGCTCCCAAATCCCGTTGGTGGAGTCAATTAAATCGTAGATATAACTTCCGGGCCGGGTAAGTCGGAAGTTTCTAATAATAAAGCAAAATAACCTTATGCAGTGCTCACGTACGATAGCATAATGCTATAACGTGGAAGCTTATACCGCTTTCATAATTAATTTATATCAATTTAATGGTTGAAGTTTAACGAAGGCATATTAAACACTATTGAAAAACCAACTGCCTATATAAATATACACTACATACTTAAGAATTGTGTTACATACTTGTAGTCTGTAACATAATTCTGAACTATCATAGGTCAATACTAAACTATTATAGACTTTACATTTTAACAAATGTTTTTAACTCTTTTGTAAACAGTTTTTATTATTATAAACATATTTTTAAAACGGTAAGGGAGGCGATGGAGACAGATCTATTCGACTTTCACTTCGACTTATTAAGACTTTCATGTGAAAATATGAAAATATTATATATTAATATATATTGAATATGTCTTTAAAATATTCCTAATGTTCTTAAATAAAAGCCCGATAATTCAGTGTCCTACCTGTAGGACGTAATTAACTCACGCGACTTAATTACGTTGGTAACCCTGGTAAATGACCGGCAAGGCATCTGCTGTTAATATCTGAAACTATAAACATAAACGTTGCTCGACAGTTTGACGCAGCAAGTGGTCGCCTTGAAGGAGATCAGGCTGCAGGAGGACGAGGGCGCCCCGTTCACCGCCATAAGGGAGGCGTCCCTCCTCAAGGAGCTGAAGCACGCGAACATCGTCACGTTGCACGACATCGTGCACACGCGAGAGACCTTAACGTTCGTGTTCGAATTTGTGGTCGGTACTTTTGTTTTGTTTGTTTGCTTTTTTCTTATCGTGTCTTTGGTCCTTTTCTTTTTTTTATCAATAACTTGAAAAGTAAAGAGTTGTCGAAAAGTCATTCCGATTGTGTAAATTGGAAATGGAATGTTAATGTTACAGAGATAATGATATACGATTAGAATGTTTTAATCTTGTCGTTTTAAGTGATAAAGTTTTTAATGGTGTTTTAATGTTAAAAATTGTATGATGGAAGGTATGTGCGTATTTTTTCAATTGAATATAACTCTTCTCGTTGTAACAATTAAACTTGCTCCGCAGGACACGGATTTATCACAGTACATGGAAAGGCATCCAGGCGGTCTCAACCACCACAATGTCAAATTATTTATGTTCCAATTGTTGCGCGGCCTCTCGTACTGTCATCGAAGACGAATTCTACACAGGTATGGAAAATGTTACTGGAAAACACTCTTAATATAATGTATTGCATATTATTGAGTTAAACAGGTAAAGCTATTATATATAAATCAATTAATGTGTTTTACTGTTATCCTAAACAATAAGTGATCTCGTTAATACGAATACGAATTATTTGAAACATCCGATATCTACTGTTCATTTCAATCTTTATTCCTGTTTAGTTTTTAGCATTTGTTTTTTTTTCTTCTTCAAACAGGGACGTCAAGCCGCAGAACCTCTTAATAAGCTCCCACGGCGAACTAAAGCTGGCCGACTTTGGCCTGGCTCGGGCGAAATCCGTTCCGAGCCACACGTACTCGCACGAGGTTGTCACGCTGTGGTACCGGCCGCCGGGTATGTTTTGCTTATGTTTCTTTAATATCTGTGATATTTCTATTGTCTTCTGATCGACGCGGATTTATTTTCAATCACCACGCGCCAAACTTAAGAATTTTCAGTTGAGTGTCTTTATGCTTGCATATGGTCTATAAATCTAAATGTATCCAGCATTTCTTTGGTTCAGTTGTTACACTGTCGAGGTATTGTTTGTCTTAGATTTTTTTTAAATGTGAAAAGTTGCCAAACGAGCCTACTGTTCACCTGATGTTAAGTGAATACCGCCGCCCATTGACATTAGCTACACTCGAGGGTTCCAGATGTGTATACAACCTTTTGGAAATTGGGCTCCGGCCACCTCGCTCACCAGACGCAACGCGAAAGTATTATAATTCCACTTATGTCGGTCGTCTTTGAGGTCGCGGTACTTACGACGAGCCGGCCCATTCATGCAACAGCCGAGGCTGCTGCGTGGCCCTACCACCTTAAAATGATGTTAGATGTAATGTCTTCATAAAAGTACTGTTTCTTGTTTTATTGTGTTGTGATTTTATCCGACGTCTGTCATCACTGAATAGTAATGGACCGGAGTAGTCAATATTGTGACATGTGTAAATATATATTATGTATATACAAAATTAAATGAACACTCAATAACTGCGATTTCGATGATTGCCTAAGAACCTCCTTTATCGACCGTGTCTTTCTCGAACGATGTTATGTCATTAAGCCTCAAGGACATTGTTTAAAAGCTATTGTTAACAAGAGCTTAGCCCAAATTATGTTGTAGTTTCTCTCGAAGGGTTAATGCCTACTGTGCTGTTAGCAAATATTTTACCGTTAACAGTCCTCTTGTGAAATCGAGCGACCGCTGTCGGTTAGAGCACCCATCAATAACCCTTTCGCTTAAGCGACAGACCACCATGATCCGCCTGTGTCATGAGGGACCTCTATGTCACTGGGCATTGATAACCCCCCTCCCGTTGGGAGCTCCCCGTATTTTATTTATATGTTTTTGCCATTGGTGGTAAACATTTTGCGTAACAGAATTTTTAGAAACGGTTTTATGGTAACCTGTTAGCGTTTAAAGTTATGATGCTATGATGTTAGAGTTAAATGCAATTTTTAAAGACTAAATGACAATTGCTTCAGATATAAATTCAGAATAAAAATGCTCCTCACTAACAAATCTTTTAATGTATCTCTATCATGTGTTTGTGAAGAAGTGGTTTTCTAGTTTTCAACCAAATAGGAAATTAGTTACATGCTCTATCATTGATTTTTTTTTAATTTTGATTGTTATTTCTATAAAAAAGCAAGTAAAATTATTACTATTATAGCCTACGATGTATATATATCGACTAATTTTAATCTAAAGTGTGTTCGTCTAGATGTCCTACTGGGCAGTACGGAGTATTCCACGTCTCTCGACATGTGGGGCGTCGGCTGCATATTCGTGGAGATGCTGTGCGGTGTGCCCACTTTCCCCGGAGTCCGGGACACCCACGACCAGCTTGAGAAAATATTCAAGGTTTGGCACTTATCGCCCTTATCGCTCGTTTTTAGTAATTAAAATCCAGAGTGTTTTTTGTTGTTCAACAATCGGAGTTGCTTTCTCCATTACTCTACATTTTAAATGCTTGATAATGAAAGTGTTTTTAAAAATTGTGTTTGTAAAAGTTTTACGGGTGGTGAAAATTCATGTGTACTTTATAATGGTCTTCTTTAATGTACGTCTTAGACAAGTATATCTATAATCCAGTCCACTGATATTTCAGCGCTTGTAGCGATTAAACAACAATAACATCTCAACAGATTGATAAGTTCGGACAATAGTGTTTTATGTGATACGTTTCATAGAGATACAACTGTGTTAGGGTTCTCATTCGTGCAACAGTGAAAACGTAACAGTCTTCACTATTGCACGAATGGGCAGGTCCGTTCAGGTAAAGTTAGGGTACTTCTGCGTTTCGTCTGGTGAGTGAGGTAGCCGGGGCCCAATTTATTACAGGGTGGCAACGCATCTGCAGCCCTACGGGTGTCACAAATGTCCATGGGCGGCGGTTATCATTTAACATCAGGTGAACCGCCAGCTTGTTTGCCACGTTGTCAAATATAAAAAAAGATTCAGTACTAGCTGGCGAAATAGTAACGGTGTGATGAAGTTTAGCAAATAATTTTTTCCTTGAAAGCGCGATTTCTTAACCGAAATAAATTAGAGTATATTTACCTGTACTTATAGATATTGTACACTCTATTGTATGTCCTTTGTCCTATATCTCTATTGTAAGGTACTCTTTGCGGGAAAAATACACGTGGTCTTGGGTAGAGAAGGGGATATAAAAATGCTAAAACAAAATCACGGCGATTAATCGACGACACCTAATGTCTCCGTGTATGCGATATAAGAGCGTCGGCATTGCAACGCCAGGTGGTGGGCACGCCGACGGAGGAGAGCTGGCCGGGCGTGTCGCGGCTGCCCGGGCTGCGCGAGCACGTGGCGCGCTGGGGCACCGCGCCCGCGCGCTCGCTGGGCGCCGCGTGGCCGCGGCTGCGCGAGGCGGGCCGCGACGCCGAGCGGCTGGCCGCCGCGCTGCTGCAGCCGGAGCCCGCGCGCCGGCTGCCCGCGCACCGCGCCACGCACCACGCATACTTCGGCGCCCTGCCCCCGCGGCTGCGCGACCTCCCGGACGGTGAGCGACCTACCCTCCGTCTCTCTCTCATTCTCTCTCTCTCTCTCTCTCTCGTCTTCCTACATTTCACGCTCCAATCCACGCCCACTTTGGCGCCCTGCCGCCGCGGCTGCCGCGGCCCGGACGGTGAGCGATCTAACCCCCTCTCACTCTCTCTCTCTCTCTCTCTTAGTCCATTTCACGCTCCAATCCAGGCCTATTTCGGCGCCCTGCCGCTGCGGGCTTCACAGCCTTGTAGACGGTGAACAACCTACCCTCCCTCTCTTTCTCTCTCTCTCTTCGTCCATTTCACGCTCCAATCCAGGCCTATTTCGGCGTCCTGCGACTGAGCGACCTCCCAGACGGTGAGCGACCTACACACTCCAATCTAATCCATTTTAATCAGCCTTTTGCAGTCCACTGCTGGACACAGGTCTCCTCAAGGGCACGCCACGTTGCACGACCCCCCCTCACTCTCTGTTTCCGTATGTCGAACTTTCCCTATATATAATATATATCGCTCTCCCTATATCCTCAGTGTCCCTTAGAGGGAGAGCGATACTTTCTCTTTTTTTTTCTCTACCAAGCTCTGAAGCGACCTGTAATGTATTCCTTTACAGCTTCATATCAGTTTCATAGTCTGGTCTCTTTTATCCTGTAACACGATCTAAAATTTTGTTTGTTTCAATTTAGAATGCAATGTGTCTATAATCTCGTCTCTATTTCAATTTCCAACGTGGTCCCGTAGGAGATCGTCTCATTCAACGTTCAATGTTGTCTACAAATCTATGATTACTCCGTTGCTCAGATGCCAAGCTATTAGCTTCCACCGAGGGTTGTGGATTCCATAATAATATGTTGACATACAATTTTCTAGGGGTCTCCTATTTTGACAAAATCATCTACTGTAATCTTTATAAATATGTTGCGATCAAGTTTTTGTCTTAGGCATAGACAAGGGCATGGGGAAAAATATGAAATATCATTGCCTAATCGATTTATCCGTTCACATTACGAGCGATCGACCGGTTGATTGCGATCGATTATTTTGCAGTTTAATTTAAATAGCAGGATTTCACAAGTGACAGCCCAAGTATTATATAATTGAATTGTGAAATTGTTGTTGCAGAGGTATCGATCTTCACCGTGGAGGGTGTCTGCATGCACCCGGAGACGCGGCACGTGGCCATCAAGTGAGACCCCACCGACGCCACCGTTTAGTTGAATCTGTTACTCTCGTTCCTTTGCGCGTACACGGTCGCACATGCGCATGCACATGTGTGCACGCACATGCGCACGCACGCATGTACGCGTGCACGTCGCGGACCCTATTAGTTAGTACGTCTTAATTCCTATAGTTTTAATGGGGGGGACAGTCGAAAACCGGTTGGTGCGTTTCGGTGGACCAAAACTTCGTGATAGTACCATCGTCTAGTTTAAATGGAGGGGCATCCAATGCCCGCATCAGTCTTCAGTTGTGCGCCGTTTAGTTGTCCATCCGTCGACTGCTTTCGACTTTAATATTATATTAGCGCTTGTTAAGCTTCTAACGTAATATCCATCCATATAATTCAATTATTCTATGGTGACAAGGTAAACTGATAGGAGTGTACGATTTATATGTATAATATTAAAATATATATGAACAGAGCAGTGTGCCATGTATTTCTATAATCGAAGAGAATGACGATTTATTTTAAAAGATTTTTATGCTGGATATATGCTCATAATTTGGTAAAAATTTTGAAGATGTTTATTTATACTAAGGGTATTTAACATTCGTTGAAGGGAACTCTGATACACGCTACGCGTAATCGTGATCGTTTCTTACCACAGTGATGGCGAAGGCTGTGGCTTCGATACCTAGCCATTCGGCTTGACGTCCCCAAATCGACACCATAGTAACCTTAGACAGTTTTCGTCATTAATCTAAATCTTATGCACACATTCCTTCCACGGTGCTCAAACGTAAATTTAGCGGTGGCTTATTGTTTAACAGTCCTGATTTTTACATTATTGCACCGCTCGCACTGGCTCACCAGCTTTGCAGCGAAGTTTTTGTTTCATTTCAAGCGAGCGATGGATCGCTACCAGTGATCGGATGCGAATTGAATACGTCTCATTCGGAACGAATCGTCGTGACAGATCTCAAGTTTATGAAGTGTGGGACCGTCCTGCTGTATTATATACGTGATAGGGAATACGATGAGTTTTAAGTGGATTATAATAAAATTAATCTTGATCGTACGAAGTGAAGGTGGCGTTAGGGTTCCGTCTAGCCTAAAGACTAGTAAATTTACCAGTTTAGTGAAATTTTAGTGGTCCCTCACGTTTATAAGGTTAGAGGCTTAGTGGTACAGCGTAACTATTAAGGTGAACGGCGCATTGGCAACTTGAAATTAATTGTCTGTGGCGTAACACGAAGGTACTTTTTCTTTATCGTCTTACGTTCGACATTTTTGATGGGAAACGGCGTGTAGAACTTTATCAAAGGTAATTTTAACGAGTAATGATAAAATAGTATGAAATAAAATAATACGTAAGGAAGAAACGGAAAAAGAATACAACGTAAACACCAATTTGTGCCAATGAAATAGATAATTAAAGACACTTTTGTGCAAGGCGATTTAGAGAACGCTGGTGATAATCAATTTATATACATCTATTGCTAGAGAAATAACCAAACTGTAGACGATTTGGATGTAAAAAATAGCATTGCCATTTTCCATTCAGCATTTTACATTTTATTTTTAATTTCACATGTACGTTTCGTTTTAAAACGACACGGCAGCGGTCAAAGGTAAAAAAAAATGACATGTATAGTGAATATCAACAGTGTTGAAATGTATAATGAAAAACAATTATGTGATACCATTTTCCTTTCGCCGCAGTCTTGTTGGACATAAAAAAATTACCGTGTCTATGGTAACACATGCACTGCCACTACTTCAGGTGTAGCGAATAAACTGGCATGCGTCGAGTTGACAGTGTGCCCGTGTGGCGTCTAGCGAGTGTAGATCTCCTTAGCGTAGTATACAGAGCTTTAGACACGTTTACATCGAGTTCTGGGGGGCGGGGCGAGCTTTATGGTCTAATCGCGTCGATTAAATTATATTTCCGCAATTAAGCCATTTATTATGAGTTTTAAACGAAAGAAGAAAAGTTATTATTTTATTTTTTAATATTTTATTATACAATACGATTATTTTTATCACCGAATTATATTGTTTGCGAAGTTGCCGTTTCGAACGGGTGACTGAATCGCGTAATGTAAGATACTTATTGTGATGGTTTTCCAATTCGCGTCTATTTTATTCAATTTATTTGTTCCAAGAACTCATTTTGTGTCATTTTTTTTTTTACTATGTAACGGTTTTTTTTCGGACGCCACGAAAACCGCCTTCGGCTTCCCCTCGCTCCCCCAACCCTAGTAGTCGAATCGTGATTTGTGATTCGAATTTCGAACACCAAATTAGCGCGTAAACCTCGAACGTTTCCGGAACGCAATATGTACTTTAGTGTTATAATTTGTTAATTATGTCGTAAGTGTAACGGACGAATGGAAGAGACGAGTTTAGTTCACCCGTTGAGTGAGGCACCGCGCGCCCTGGCGCTATGTAACATACGTGTATATTGCTAAGTTACGTTGCGTGGAGCATTTAAGTAGTTGGCGGTATACATTTGTAAAGGTGTAAGAGATGATTTGCATTTTTATTTTCCCGCTCTCCGTTGTCGTCGGCCGCCTCGGTACTGCGTCGTGTAAATATGTATGGGTCGTTTACGGTGTGTTTGTATATCCGCAGTCGTATGGAGGTAGCCATTTTGTATGTTTTCCGAAGCGCTTATCGCGATCGCTGTCTCGTCGCTGCTGACTGTCAACTGTCACCGTGACAGGCTGTCATTGTGCTGATGTGTAAACGGGAGCTTACATGAGATTTTTTTTTATAATTTTAATAATGTAGTACTGTATCTTATGTTTAATTAACTCGACTATATTTCTCTTCTTTTTTTTGTATCACGGAATTGTTCTGCCGCTGGTTTCGTTACGATTCGTTTGTATTATCATGTAAACAATGTGCTTTTTAATCATTTAAAGAAATGTAAATACGATATTTGAACTGATAATAATAAAATTTTTATTTCTAATTTGGATGTTTTCGTTTTAATTCCCACCCGTTCTCCTGTCGTCGTAAAACTACAACAATTGCCCGTGCCAAAACCTATGTATGCAATGCACATACAGCAATGGTTCCCAAAGTGGGCGGTAACCCCCCCAGTGGGAGCCGAGACTGTCTGAGGGAGTGATTGAAAATATTGGGGCGCTAAATTAAAATTGGAAGCCATGAAAAGCTTTTAAGATTTCAAGAAAGTTTGTCGAAAATCCATTCGGATAAAGAAATACAGTATTTTCAAGGATTCAAAGCGAAGTTTATAGGACAGCCTACATTATTGTTTATTTTCATGTGTATGTATTTCTTGAATGTGCGTTGTTTATTAAATTTTTTGCTAAAGTGGACGGCACACCAAAAAGTTTGAGAAACATATAACATAATAGTGTAAGATACGATGGTAAGATTTCAGTACTTAAATTTTCTCGTAGTTACATCATGTAGTTTACCTGGGCATAGAAGCGAAACTTCATTTTATTTACGTATCTTTGCCCACCCCTCGTGTGAGCTAGGTACTTGTTAAATTACGGAAAATAAGGAAACCAAAATGTAATGTCGTCTGGCGACGAGTTAACTTGTTCTTGGAATGTCATGTTATAGAACAGCTACTAAAAGCTTGTAAAAGATTTAATATTGATATGTTATATATACTAGATTGCCAAAAACATTTTTTATTTTGATATTTGGCTTGGTCACCCACGGCGAAACCAACAGGAATTCACACGAGAGGAACGCTCCGAGTGGGCAAGTTGAGCCTTTGGAACTGGATGAGTGCTGGAGGGTGCAGGGGACAGATTGAGGGTGGTAGAGTTGGAGCCACTGTCCCTGTCTTCTGCTACCGAGACGGCGTCGTGGGGGAAGAGTGGTGGTATTGCGCTTGGCCACTCTCCCTATCCACCGCGACTCGGCGGGGAAGCACTGCTAATGCAGTGGTGGTGGGGCCGCGGGGGGAGAGGAGTGTCGGTATTGCGATGCGCCGTTCTTCCTACCCTCCGCGGCCGAAACGTGTTGAGCAGCGAAGCCACAGGCCAGGTCCGCCGCTGGGGGCTAAGATTACATTATGGTAATATAAATTGTAAATGCAATAGTTTAGAGTTTGTTAATAGCTATAAGTATTTAAGAGTAACTATAGATTGTAAGTTTAATTGGAGTTTGCACATTAATAATGTTTGTGATAAATTAAGAATGATATTAATCAAATTTAAATATCTTAATTATGTAGTTGATAAAAAAACAATGTATTTGTTATATCACACTCTTGCTGATAGTGTACTCAGTTATGGATTGATTGCATATGGCCGCACTTTTCACACATATCTAGATAACATCAAAAATTTACAAATGCGTTTAATTAAGCTTCTTGCAACTAAACGCAGTAAATCAGATTGTAACGGTGATTATAAGTTATTGTTTAAAAATGTAATATATTACCAATACATGAAAAAGTTAAATTTTTATTAGCCCTAGAGGAATATGATAAGTCAGAGTTTAAAAAGCTAAAACATAATAATAACTGCCTTAGAAATAAAAGCAGAAAAATTTATGTGGAGCCTATTATGTGTAATTATTATGGGATGAGGACAAAGAGGTATTTAGTACCAAAAATAATATGTAATGAGATTTTTTCTGAAAATGATTGTATAAGCAAGAATATCTTCAAAAGAAAGTTAAAGGCCTTTTATATAGATTATTATAATAGTAGCATAACTTAGATTGTTCCAGTTTTTCTTTTTCTTTTATTTTATTTTTTCTTTTATTGCTTAGTTATTATTTTTAACTCCAGTGTACCCTATGCTAATTTTATTTTGTTATTTAAGTGACAATTATGTAAGAGTGCATTGTGTCGCCGATAAATTGTTTTCACAATTTGGCGAATATATTTTTTTATGTTGTATTGTTTACTTAATAAATAAATTAATTAAAAAAAAAGAGGCTTGCTTATTAGGACTGGCTTACCTAGCTCCCATGGCCTCTGGTCAGCGAACTCTGGGGTGTTCGTCACGGTTAAAATTGCTGTCCATTAAA